AAAAAAAAAAAAAGATAGAGACGCTATCAAGACAAAAAAAAAAGGGCCGATGGAAGGCAGCACTTACATGCACCTAAACCAAAACCTACAGACGAACCATTCCTCAGTATGATCCGCTGTCACGTTGTTGTTAACCACTGTTTGCTTGTTTCCTCTTTTCCTTGTTGGTTCGCTTGTTTGTTTACCCTCGCCCCTCACTGCGTGCTTCCGACGCAACGCGCGGCTTCAGTTACTCTCAATAGAAGTACAACTGCTCATGCAGACGCTCGGCAAGGAGTCAATAACACAAAAAAAAAAGACAGCTGATAAATGAAAGGATGCTCTTGTTCGTAAGAGAGGCAAAACAGAAGCTAGTGGGAGCGTGAGTTTTGAAACCCTCGCAGATATTTTTTTTATCTATACCCAGCTCACACGTTTCTGCATATTCTGAGGCTCTTTTGCTTCATGCGTTTTCCCCCCCCGTTCTCTTCTCCTTCGTTCGTCTCCTCAGTATCGTGTTGTCATTACACAGCGCCGTGGCGGTTGATGGGCTCACACCTGCGCCAGCTTGTTGCCCTCGGCCTTCTTCTTTCCGCGGTCCAAGAACAAATCGATGGAGCCGACGGGCAGCAGCTCGCGGCCGTACACCTCATTGGTGACCTCCGCGAACGCCAGGTAGAGCGCGGAGGCGCCGCAGAAGATACCTTCGAAACCGGCCACCCTCAGCGTCACCGGCGAGTGGCCCATGTTACCGGCGGCCAGCAGCACGAAGAGAACCATCAGCGAGCCAAAGACCGTCATGAGCGCCAAGTTGGTGCGCAGCGTGTTGATGAACATGAAAAAGGTGAAGATGCCCCACATCAGGAGGTAGACACCGAGAAAATATGCGTCCGTGGGATTCACAGGGTGACCCTCGACGAAGGCGTTGTTCTGGAACATCCATGTACACACAAGCGACATCCAGAAGGCACCGTAGGAGCAAAAGGCGACGTACCCAAATGTGTTACCGCGGACAAATTCAAAAAGCCCGGCGATGAGCTGCACAAGCCCGCCGTAGCAAAGTCCCATGCCAACAACCGCCGTGGTTAGTGGATAGAATCCGGTGTTATGCACGTTCAGTAAAACCGTCGTCATACCGAATCCCAAAAGGCCAAGAGGACCCGGATTCGCTTTCTTCACTGGCGGCGGCGGCGGCGGTGGTGGAGTTGAGTCCTTGTGCCGTGGTGTGTACCCGTCATCTACGTAGATGTAGTAGCGCCGCCCGCAGAGATCTTGGTTCGGCGGCACACTTAACTCACCAACGTGATCTTCACTGAAGGGTGGCGGCATTGTTTATTTGTATTTTCGTCGAAGACGACGACGGCGGCGGCGGTGTCCGAATGCTCTGCGGGGAAACCAGCAAGACAAAAAAAAAAACGAGTGTGCGAAGGAGCTTCTTGAATGACAACGCAACATGGAGAAAAAGTGAAGGTCCTCAGTGCCGGGCAATACAAGAGTGCTCACATGTGATAGTCGAATGCGTAGTCCTGTTTGTTCTTTGTCTTTATAAATAAATATATCACTAAACAAACAAATAATTAATTAATTAGTTATTGCCTTCGATAGGCATCTTTCATCGTTGTCTTCCTTTATCTTTTCCTTCGTAATTTGCGGGCCCAAAAGTGGAGAGTAACCAAAAGAAAAACTACTACGGTGGTGGGTTTATCATCCAGAGAAACCCTAGCGGAGTGTCCAACAGCCATCCTCCCGCATTCTCCGCACACCGCTTCGGTGTCTCTTTAAATCTTTGCACATGCATCCGCATAAGAGGAGCACACCACCATACGGAATCATCACTCTTGTCTTTCTTTTCTTCTTTCCGTCGTTTTATTTTTCCAGATTCCATGGCGCACAGAAGGAGGGAACGCCATCCTCCCTTACGCTGCTTTCTCAACTAGTGGACGGGGGGAGGCAAGCAATAGCAACAACAATCTACACGCGTTCACCTCGAAAAGGTCTTGAAGCCCCCAAAGCTGTACACCACTGCCCCTCTGCTGCTGCCGTTGTCGGTGGCCCTCTTTGTTGCACGGCGGGCCAAGCGAGACGGGAGGAATCTAAATAGCAGAACAAGGAAACGACCCAATGAACCAAACGAAAAAAAGGCTTTGTGCTTTGAATTCTTTCCATTCGCCCCTAAAAAAAAAAAAAAA